TCCAGCCGCAGCGGCAGTGGGTCACGTCCGAGGCCAGCGTAGGCCATATCCAGCAGGGATCGCGCATAGGCGGCCAGCCGACGAGGCAGCGCCAGTTTTGCCTCCAGCTCATTGAAGCGCCGTTCGGTGTCCTCTAGACCCGAGAGCAGACGATTCTGTGTGTCGTTGGCTCTGTCAACTGAATGTAAGAAGTGAGCAGAGATCAGTACAGGGCAATAAGCATCGCACTGCAGAATATACTGAAAGCTAAATTACATTACTACTCGCAATAAGTGAGTAGGCGTGATAGTTTACTATTTTGGCCTAATTGGCGGCTGCTCGCTTTTCACATGTAGTCGTGAAAAAGATTGTCTTGTTCCAGTGATCGCATCTTCGTCTTCTGAACTGCTTCCTGGGACTCGAATATTCGCTACTATTGGCAATTGTCTTTTGTTTTTGTTTTTTTCTTCTGTATCGATGCATTTATTTGCCGATTTGTTACCTACTCTTCCTCGGTAAATATAAGTGGAACAACTGGTAGCCGTAGTTTGGATTGAAGTCGCATGACGGCTCGTAGTGTAGGCAGATAAAAATTGCTAGCAAAGATGTGGAGATTGAAAATGTTAATATGAAGTTCTGGCGAGGTTAGCAGCTTCACTAACAGGCTGACCAAATTTTTCTGATATAAATTAAACATTTAAAAACGCATTAGTGGTTAGAGTCATACGCGTCTTCACAGTACACGAGAGCGAAAAAAGCAGCATCATCCAAAGCATGTCACCACGTCCCCCCTCCCCGCCTCCATGTTCGGCCATTCTCCCTTGGTGGTTCAACGCATTTACAACGCCGGCCACTTAAGGGAACACTGGCATGCTAACAATAGCGTTTCACAGGCTTGACCAGTTAACATCCCTAAGTAAACTACTAAGCCAACAACCTGCAGTAGATTCTCTATCTCACGAAATGTAGTGGATTCACTAAAAATGTAATTTTGCGCGAAGTTAGCACACGCGGCGTGCCCCTAACTATTATAGCACTAAAGTAAATACCATAAGTAACAACAAGACACACATTGGTGAAGTAATTACTATTTATTAGCTTAGGAATATTTAAGTTACAAAAAATTTCGAACTTAAAGAATTGACGAGATGACAAGTCACTAGTCCAATGTTAAATATAAATATGTTTAAGGCATGGGAGTGGAAAATAATGGCACGTTGATACATAATAAGTACAGATACAAAATTTTTATTAGTTAAATTTTTTCCATTAACATTTAAACTTGCATTAAATACAATCAAATAGAACTAGTAATTTTGGCCTACGAAAAAAATGTTGGTCACTTGTATGTTTATTGCTTATCATCAGGGCAAAAAACGTAACAGACTTGTAAGGAAAAATTTTGTTAACTGAAATCATTTTTCTTTTCCCGACAATCATGCTTTATCTCATGCATACACTAACCTCAATTTCATGAACTCGTAACAAAATTTGCCGTTTTGTGAACAGATATAACTAAAAACTGCCGGCTCTTCATGAATGTTCTTTTATAGTACAACATGCACAAACAAGAACTTCTTTTTCTGAAGCGTTTAATAGCACGGGAAATTCCTCGGATATCAGCAAACGCTGGATTTCGTCCATTTACGCCTCTATTTTCTCCCACCGTACGGTGATGAATGGAATTCAATTCTATTCAACAGTATTTCGCGCCTCAAATCAAACCTATGAACTAAATAAACAACCTTAAATGTTTGTTAAATCCCCCGATCCCCAACATTTCATCAGATATGTAATCTACTGTGCGCGTTTTTCTGCGAACTGAAAAAAGGCAATTTAGTAGGAAGGAGTCTAGGTTTTAAAAAACAGAAATGGCTGATTGATTGTCGCATTATCTGTAGGAACGCACCGGCAAGATTGGCGGTCCCCTCAAATTCATTGTATCTTTTCTCCACCGCTAGAACCTGCTGTTCCATATCCGTCAGTTGTTGGCGATCTTGAAGTGTCTCCGCAGCAATTGTGTCCAGTTTGGGTCTACTGGCGTCCACAAGGGGTTTCAACTGTGAAACTGCAGAACAAAAGGGAAACACAGGTTTTGGTATTGGGTTTTCTCCTATGAAAGAAATCTCTTTCTCTCAAACAGCGCTCGCCATCTGACTGAATAACATACGAGCCTGAAAACGCCGTATAAGATACGTGAGCAAAAATCTATGCCGATAACCCAAAATAATGTATGCTTATGAGGATGGTGTGGAACCGACAAAGACAAAGGAGACCCGAGTGGACATTTCTGCCTTATTAGCCACCATCAGCCAGTCATGCCCCATCACAGTGAATACAAATTATTAAAATAGCTATCGAAAAGCTACTATCTTTATTTAGGTAGGTAGTTTGTTTACATTTACTTTCTGTCAGGAAGGGATTATGTGCTCACCTTCAAGGAACGTCTCAACAACGTTTTCCCGGACATCCAATTAAAGATAGAGGAAGAAGAGAACAACCAGCTGGCCTTCCTTAATGTCCCCGTCTGTCGCAAAGATTGTGGTGGCCTAAGGACTAAAGCGTTCGGGATAGCGACAAACATGATGCAAGTACTGAATTACGACAGCGCTCACCCAATCAGCCACAAACGCAGTTGCGTAAGGACGCTCTATCGGCGTGTTGGAGACGCATGCTGCGAACCAGAAGATAGAGTTGTCGAGGGACAATACCATCGATGGGTGTCCAAATAAAATGGCTACCCATGCAAATTCTTCAACCGGTGCTTGCGCAAACGAGATGGCCAACAAAGTCGCACCGAGCCCGAACGTCAAAATCATCTCGGAGCCTGTCGGCCGCCTTCTCGCACCACTTGGAGTTG